GTTTTTTTCTATTTTTACAAAAACAATGCACTCTAGGAAAAGACACAAGTGCAATGATTTGTAGCAAATTGAAGGTGAAATCCAGATACCAAATTTTAGTTCATTCCAGTTGACGGTCCTGAAGATATTAAAAAAATGTTTATTTATTTTTAAACTTCAACTTTTTAGTGAAGCCGTCGAGGAAAAAATGACCCTTAAAATGCGGTCCTGTGTATGATGTTTCATTTTTGGTCACGACTTGTGAACCATCCCGTATACGGAAAGATACAGCATGACAAAACAAGTACACAAAAAATGCAGGTATCTTCACTTTATGATTCAAAAGTTTTAGTTTTGGTTTCAAATATAAACCACAAAATAGTGATGCAGACCAATCATAAAGAAAGACCATTCAAAACGTTTCCCCCAACCAGTGGCGTATCTGGAACTTTTGTGCTCGAGGGGAGCCGATAGATCTCGGGAAAGGAGTGGGGGCAGAGGCAGGTTAAAATGCAAAACAAAATGCAAATATATAAACAGCAACATTCGAAATCGAATAAGGAAAGACATGTGTGGTGCAACGTGGAATGGTAGAAAATATTACAAATAAGCCTGCAAGGAGGTAGGCGTAGAAGGTAAAAAAGTACTGATAGTATATTATGTCGTTATAATTTACATCAAACATAACAGCTTATGAGTGGTGGAGATACCCTCTTTCAAAATGGTCCTATGATCTCTATATTTTACTTCTATTCTGATGGTTATACAGTATCCGTTGAGGCTTAATAAGGAAGTTGAACGAGAATCATTAGGTATAATGTAAAAAAGTACTGATAGTATATTATGTCGTTATAGTTTACATCAAATGTAACAGCTTATGAGAGATACACTCTTTCAAAATTGTCCTATGATCTCTATATTTTACTTCTATTCTGATGGTTATACGTATCCGTTGATGTTCAATAAGGAAGTTGAACGAGAATCATTAGGTAAAACAATGTTAGACAAGTTAGACTCTAAAAATTCTATTTTATCTTAAATTTTTGGGTCGAAACGGACAAAAAAAAACGATGGAGCTGATAAGCTGGGCTTTCATGACTATTATTTTTAAAAAACAGTATTTAGGCTAGGTTCAATTTTTGGGACATCCAAGTCGCGTATCATTTCAATGTTAAAGCCGATCGTAGACACCTTTCAATTCTGAATCATCCCAAACTTAGAATTTGTGAATTAGCTACTGGTTGACAAATTTCTGGATAAATAAACTAAACATCAGACCTTTTAACTATATTTTGGACGTACAAAAGCTATAGTTACCTCCGAGGTCACGACAAAGTAATAGTTCACCTAAAAGGTTGCAAATGTGTCCTATATTCGATCACCAGTTTGCTCCGTTCAGAGGGGAACCCACCGCCCCTTTATATACGCCACTGCATGCACCTGTTAACCTGAGGCTTGACTTCCAATTGCACACACATGCATAGCTTCGCGTGATTTTGGCACAACACCCTGTATAGTCACCAAGAAAAGAAAAAGAAAAATAAGCTGTCACCTGAAATATATTGTCCAATATTGTCATTGTCACTGTACTTCCAGAAAAACCACCGCAGTGATCAATCCGTCAGTAAAAAAGTAATATATTATGTACGATTTCATTAGGCTGGAAAATCATGAGTACTAGATTTGCACAGGTCGAGGCGACCTGCATAATTTTGCCCCAGCCCCAAACGAAAAGCATTCGTACTTCCAATTGTATGATTAATTGCGTGTTTTGGACAGATAAAAAAATAATCCAGCATGACGTTAATCGATGTCTAGTAATAGCCGCAATAAAACGCATTTATATCTCCGGATTAGATCTCCATATCAACTAGACGTGGGTATGTATATGTGTCATTATGGATAACCAAGAGAACTCGCTCTGATGTAGCCTTATACCTACCAGCGAGCTGGGGCAAATCACCCGTTACTGATAACGATAACATAGGCCGTCAATTAGTCATATTATAAAGTTTATCTCCGCAGGCCGATTCTGCAAGAGATGTGAGGTCATTCGAAGTTATATGCATTGGTATTAGGTACGGATTCAATTCGATTCCGATACTGTAGGTGGCTTTGACCTCTTGTTAGAATGGAGACGTGCTGACTCCCAGAAAGTGTGACACATGTTGCATGAATTGCTCCTGGCGCATTTATTGTAATGTTTGATACATTTTGTCCATACAAAAATGCCGAACATAAGTTACAAGCTACAATGTGGGCATATGCTTTGTTCAATTAAATAGTCAATCATTAGTAATAATTAAAAGGGATAGAAGGCTTAATAGAAGTGAAAATTGTTTCCCCAATAAGTTAAAAACTGGCGTCAGGCAGGTTGACCCTGCACTTCCTAGGTAACGCTCTCATCAATCCTCAAGGATTACATTCGTCACAAATTATCCTATTCTTGGAAAAAAAATAGCTAAGAACACGTATAAAAGATTAGTTAATGGATCATGTCAGTCCAACAGGCCAATACAATAAACCGACGGTACTCAACACCAGTAAAAGCACTTCATGAATGCAGATTCTTTACCTAGGGATTTTTTCACCATCGTTATTCAATTACTGCAAGAAATGTAACTTGTTATAGAGAAACGGGATAAATAATGGTTAATAATAAAAGCCCATGACTTTTAGACATAAAAAAATCACTTACAAAATTTTCCGTTATTGTTTTTTTTCCTTTATAGGCAAATGTATGGAAGATTTTATAAAAACACAAAAAAGTGGGAATATTTCAATTGCAGAAAGTACGCCTAAAAATAACTGTTTTAAAATGCCTCCTTTTCAGGATACAGTTGTTGAACATGTACATGTATGTCTACGCAGCCAACAAATGTGTTTGTTATACACTTGGTAAATAAATTACAAGTACACGCAAAAGTATTCCTGTCTCAAACTACACCAGAACTTAAGAATTCACACCACTACAGACGGAGAAAGAAAACTATTTCCTACATCTCCAACTTTTGCAAAACATGTGTCAATTTTTTTTGATATCGCTTTTAATCACTTCTTTTAAAAAAATATATCTGGATATTTCAGATAAACTACTAAAAAATATGTTTTCCAACTCAATTAATCTCAGCAAAAGAACATTTTAGCAACTATACCACAGAAGATTATTGTGACACTTTTCAGTATGCCTTTCTTGACAATTGTTCTGCCGCCAGAGAGCCGATTCTCAAACGCATTTCAACGATAATTAGCTTAGAAGATTGGTAAGGTTTACTTGACCATAATATGTTGTATTAAATGCCAATTAGATTTTCTATTAATTCTAATACTACTATAATCGACACTATTTATGATTTTAACTACCTTACTTTACGACCACAGTTTTTACTCACATCACTCACTGGTAGTAATTTCACACTCATGATTTTATAGGTTGTAAATTATTTAATTTGGTCGTCTACCGAAGTTCGTACATTGAGAGGCTTGTATTATGAGAGATTTATCCGTACAGCTTTTCACATTCGCATTCAAATATATTAGCGTAAAGCTCGAAAGAAGCTAAGCTGCATGGGAAAATACTTTCATGCCCACACAAGCAGGTTTATAACAAACACCTAGGAGCTCATTAAATATACCATTGCTGCTAATACCACAGAGCCTTATTTATCTACTACAAAAGTATTTGATACTAAATGTTGATAATCTTCTCCATTCAAATATGGCACTACACCGTTATACACTTTGAAAAAGTTACTCGTCGGTGTTTCGGTAATCTACAATTTTGTTTGAAGAACTGACTAGATTTTAATATGTTGTTAATCCTAATAATTGAAGAAGCGATTCTGAAATAGCGATAAAAATATAAGTGATGAATCAAGAAATTAAGTGTCATAAAAAAACCTCAAAACTATTGATACCCTTCTCGAAAAATGTAATAAGAATATGGAGAAACAGAGTATTTTCCATATTTCATATCGGTAAAGGCGAGACGGCGTTATTAACCGATCAATGACAAAAATGTTGGGCAATGTTGATAAAACGAATAATAACAGCAAAATAAGAACCTACTAAAAATTTAGCTAATGGATCAAGGGTCATGAAAAAGTATACAACTGATGTCTAAGAACCAGTAGCAACGCTACTACGTTATTAGCCAGTCAACAATGATAATGCCCGAGCCAAGATAGGAGATGTTGATGGAAATATAAAACAATGGTTTTATTGTGGGATACTCATACCGATGATCCCATTCGACATTAGTTACTTTTCAAGCAGGATCAGATTAAAAATGAGCTTCATCTGACAATACATGCATTGCAGTCCAAGATTTATTAGGTCATCAGATGCTTGGTGGTATCATCATGGGCTCCATCCTTAATAACACGTGGCTCATACAACGTATTTCATGTACAGGGCGTTCTGATACGCCCAGGGCGTACCCAAAATGAGAGCTCAATTGTTTTTTATGTGGGTATCAGATTTGCGTACGGCTGGTCGCGATGCATATTTAGATTACTCAGGGAGGTTGCTTTAAATTGAAATCGGTACTTTGTGTCCGATATTATTTAATGACACTCGAGATGTCTTTCCACTGCAGGGTAGAATTGTGATATATGAACAAAGTGTGATAAATACTAAGGTCCTAAAATCATATATCAAGTTCAGCTTTGTTCTGACTCTTCGGAAAGTGTTTCTTAGATTCGAGAAACATAAATTATTGTTCTTGGATTTGATTAGCTAAAATCAGCTTTGATTTCAAATTTTTTGAGATCTATACATTTTTTAACACGCTTTTATCCGTTTGGCCTGTATGTATGTATGTTTGTAAAGGAATCTTTAAGCATAATTTTCATCAGTTTCCAGAAGTTTGATTAATTTGCAACTTCTCACACGTATCAAGGTCCGATGGCAGTGCAATAATTTGATGACAGTTTTCCTTATAATAAAATTTCATAAAAAGCACATATGTTAATAAAAAGTCATTGATTTCAAATGCCGGTTTACGAGTTCTGAAACTACAAGCATCTGTATCTCAGTGACAGAGCACTGGCCTTGTAAATCAGGGATCGTGAGTTCAATCCTCATAAGAGGGAGGATCGGTGACAATTTGATAACAGTTTTCCATTATCCTTATTAGGACCGCCAGGATTGATAAATTCTTTTATAGATCATCTGTAGGGTAGTGAGAGAGATAGAGCTAGCGTGCGATATGCGCATGCGTGCAGTTTCGGACTTACTTTTTGTTGGTTCGGGCACTCGGTACATTCTCATCTTGTTCATTGCGAATGTTGCCATTAATCCTGAGTTGGGCTGACGACCGTCCACAAGATGCAATGGGAAAAAGGTTTGCCTTTGTTTCCTTAATCGTGAAGACATAGCACCTGATTATCTCTCATTGTTTCTCACATCCACGGGAAGTAATTGTATTGTTACGTTATTGATATTTGAACCTGGTCTCGTAACATTTTAATGCATCCAAAGCGAGTAAAATAGTATTCTTGGCACCAAAAGACAACTTCTTGTGCAACACTGAGTCCTTTGTAGTTCGTAGGCATCGATTGAACGACCTGATCGTGCAGCGTAGGTTTTTAAAAAATCGTATAAGTTGTAGTAATAAAAAATCAAGATCGAAAAGGATGGTATAAAGTAAGCGGTCTTTCAGATTACTTCAATGATATTCCAGCGCAGCGTGAAAAATAAATCGTTGAGGAATTTAGTTTTCTGTTTAAGCCCTACCGTTATTCTACAAAGCATTGTCCTCTTAAGGAGTATACGAGGTCTGTAAATTAAGTAATGAGACTGGCAACAATGGAGGCGCCGGGCTAGGAGGGGAGCAGGGGAATATGTGATCTGCCTTCAGTACACGTTTTTTCTATTGTGTTCTAAAAATGAGTGACACCAAGTGTTTCGGTGATTTAAGGCATTTTCAGAAGGGAGGGAGTCGATTGAAGATGAATGACAAAGCGAAAGGGAAAACATTCCTGTGGCTCCTCCAGCTCCTTATTAGCCTGACTTGAGTCGTTGTGACTTTTTTCTCTTTCCGAAGTTGAAAAATCACCTCAAGGATTCATACATTCAAAAGGCTGTAACCGATCAGCAGAAGGCTATTCCAGTATCCGATTTCCAGCACTGCTATGAGGAGGGAAAGAACCGTCTCCAGTGCTGTGTGGCTTTAGAAGGAAATTATTTTGGGGGTTACAATATAGAAGTGTAATATTTGGATAAAAAATTTAAAAAATCACTCTCATTACATAATTTACAGACCTCGTACATATACACATACTATTACTTATTAAAAATGGATACAACGTTTGACAGGAAAAAAGTTGAAAGGGTCACACTTAGTAAGCCAAAGTTAAGAAAGTAATATTAAACAAAAAAAATGTATAATTCTGTCGTATCGGAAGATATACAGGGTGGGGCAAAAGTCACGAAGGGATTTGAAAAATTAATAACTTTTTTAAATTTATTTTGTTTTCATTTTTTTTTTCAGGACCGTGTAAAATAAATCCTGGAGATTAATTATGGAGCGTTACAACCTCAATCAACGAACCAAACTTATAGAATTTTATTTTGAATATCACCATTCAATAATTCAAACTCAACGAGCATATCGTCGTCATTTCAATTTGCGGAATTCGCCCTCTGAATCAATGATTCGACGCTTAGTGGCACGATTTCAGCAACAAGGCACAGTTATGGATCTCCCACGAAGCGGAAGGCCACGTTCCGCAAGAAATGAAGGGAACATTCAACGCGTTCAGGAGAGTGTTCAGGAGAATCCGGAAACCTCAACCCGAAGACGTTCTGCTGAGCTGCAGATGTCTCAAAGGTCTTTACGCAGAATATTAAGAGGAAATTTACATCTGTTTCCATATAAAGTGCAGCTAGTGCAAGAACTAAAACCAGCAGATTTTCAAGAATGACTAACTTATGCAGTTCGCTTGCAAAGAATGGCTCGAGAAGATAATGAATTTATTCATTCTCTGATCATGAGCGATGAAGCCCAATTTGCATTTGAATGGCTTCGTAAATAAGCAGAACTGCAGAATATGGGGTACCGAGAACCCAAGGGTGGTTCATCAAAGGCAATTACATCCGCTTAAATGTACAGTATGGTGCGCAGTTACGTCTCAACGAATTATTGGACCATTCTTCTTCGAAGACCACGATGGGAATGCTGTATCTGTAGATGGCGACCGATATCGTGATATGATTCAAAATTTCTTAAGACCAGCTCTTGCTGACAATCAAACGATGACTTTCCAACAAGATGGAGCCACTGCGCATACTGCTCGAGCCACTATGCACCTTCTAAGGCAGATTTTTGGCGAACGTTTAATTTCGAGAAATTCAGGATTCAATTGGCCCGCCCGCTCGCCGGACTTAACAGCCCCTGATTATTTCCTTTGGGGATATCTGAAAGGAAAAGTGTATATTAATAAACCCACAACCCTGCAGCAACTAAAAGATAATATTCGAGCAGAAGTAAGTGCTTTGGGGCCAGATATTCTGACTCGGGTAATGGAAAATGCTCTTGCAAGAGCTGCACTTTGCGAGGCTGAAAATGGCGGTCATTTGCGTGATGTAATCTTTCACACTTAAATTGTAAACAAACTCCAAACATTGCATTTTAGTTTTGTGTTAGGGAAAAAAATTAAAATTAAAATTTAAAAAAGTTATTAATTTTTCAAATCCCTTCGCGACTTTTGCCCCACCCTGTAGAAGCTGTTGAGTGCATTCTTCAAATTTACACGACCCACGCTTTATTATTAAATTACATTTTTTAGCGAATGAAATGCATTGGTAGAATGCTGGGTCCCTATTTCTCCATTTTTTTCGTAAGTTTTAGACATAGTCAGCTAATAAAATTAATTTCCATCAGTTTTTTCCTCCTAACAAAATTTAAGCTCTCAAAAGAAATCTCAGACTGTGGTAATTGTATCACCACCAACTGCCAGTTTGCATATTTAGGAGCAGGAGTATGGGACGTCCCGTTTACCTTAGATCATCAACTTGGTGATCTATCCATCCGATTTATCAAAGAAATAAGCACTGGATGAACTCACCCATAATTAAAAAAACGAGATGTTCTTTCGGTTCGGAATGACTAGATGACGAGTTTCCAGATAAATGGATAGATCGAAGAGGGCCTATAGAATGGCCTGCTAGATCTCCTGATTTGACGCTATTACATTTTTTTAATGGGGCCATTTGAAATCTTTGTTTACTGGACAACCGGAAAGTTTGGATGAACTTCGTCAACGCATCATCGAAACCTGCCATGATATCCCACAACATGTTTTTGAAAATGTCCGTCAGGAATTTGAACATCGCCTATATCATTGTTTGGCCAATAACACCTTATTCAAATAAAAAGTGATATTTTCGTGTGTTTTTGTTTTCTATCTGAACAAACTAAGATATAAAAAGATGTTTTTAATTTTCCTGAAAACGAATCGACCGATTTTAAAAAATCAAACGTCAAAAAAAAGGACATTGAAAGACCTTTCAAACAAGCTGTTACTCGATACCCCTTGTCATTTAAAATTGTTAAGGGGATGATCCTGGGGCATGATATTTTTTACATCATCGGAAAATTCCCATTTCCGTCTTTCGTTGTTACACTGGGGTAATTTGGGACGTTGATTCTCAGTATGGCCATTTAAAACTGCTGAAGTTTTGTCTTATTTTCTTCGCTGAACTAAAGTAACAAGTTAGAACATGGTTGTTGAAAAAAAAATGCTAAACGTCGCAAATCCTTATTTCATATATATCTGCATTATTTCGTATGCGGTTTGAAGTTACCAACAATATATGATCACACACCACCTATCTACAAGTACTACCTTCTGTACATTCTTGCACTCCGAACTGAATTAAAATAGTACATCATAATCATTCGAAAATGTCAATAACATCATCAAACCATGCTGGACAAATATGGTAGCTATCTTGACTGCATCATACATATTTATGAGCACATCAAACTGATACATCTCGAGACACAATGAAAACGTCGTCGTCGTTCGAAACAATCTCGTTACATAAAGGTTGCAGTTAATATCAATATTCATCTCGACCCATATATACGCGCGCATGCAATCTGAAAAAAAAACAATTGAATTTCGAATATTGTGCTTTCTTATTAAGCCTGCACTCCCACGGCACACCCGAAGCATGACGCCCTGTATATTAATATATGGCAATCAAGAGGGCGCGCACAAAAATGAGAATTGTCGCTTCCGCGCTCGATGTTATTCTGGTCTGGTTAAATTAGATTGAAATATACTCTGTGTTACTCTCAGAAAAACTAATTACTTCAACTTGATTTTTTGGTAATAAGCTAGTTTTACATCAGGAATGAGACGATAACATTTTCACTAAATTTTATTGACAAGTAATAAGAAAAAAAATAATGTGTTGGGCGACCCCGCAGCTGAGTTCACTCAGACTATTCGTCTAGGCATCGACAAAATGAAATGATCGATGTCTGGTTGTGGCACGTCATTCCAAGCAACTCGAACTTAATAATAATAATAATAATAATAACAATAATAAACGTCTTTATTCGCCAAACATCAACCAATAAAGATACATTTGTATAAAAAAAGAGTTTGGCGAAGGCGAAGTTCAGATATCCACGACTGATGTGACACAAACCTGCTCTTCCACTTAACCCTTCGAGGATTAGTTGTGGCAGAGTCTGTGGCGGATTGTGCAAAGTGAATAGTCTCCTCCCCATCATATCCCATACATGTTCGTTTGGATTTAAATCCGGTGAACGGGCTGGCCATGGCAAAACATTACCGCCTACTTCTTGAAAAAGTCTGTAAAACGATGTTAATCTACCTTCTTCTATCCACACACGACACACAAGCATTACCGTCATTGCAGCATAATTAACACGGCGGCCAATTTCGCGATAGGACAAACCAACATCTCGATAGGGAATAATTCTACCCCTGTCAAAGTCGCTAACATGGTGATAATTTGGACGTCTTCAAAGTCGAGGCATTTTGTTATACTTAACACTAGTAAATAAAATGGCAATAACTGAAATTATCTGAAAAAGTAAGAGATAACATTTTAA